CCAACACTTGTACTACCAGACCATATAAGAATAGATGCTCCACAAGTTGCAGGTGGTAGTGGTAAATTCATCTCATGAAAAAGACCAAGAGCTGCTGTAATAGTAGCAAGTGGAATTGTAGCTGCTGATTCAGGTGAAATCATTGAAGGGTAACGAAAGACGAGTGATGCTTCTTGAACAACATATTCAGAATAAGCTCCACGAATACCAAATTCAGGATTGACACCACCTGGGACACAGCCAGCAACACGTTCACCTCTTCTATAATTGCCTTAAAATAAATAACAAGAATCATAATAAAAACTACTATTCGTATTACAAACCAATCGCTTCTTCGCCTACTTCAACGATTTCTCCAGCAAAATCACATCCAACGATTGATCCTGGTTTCGCAGCACCAAAATGAACAGATTTCCAATCAGTTGGATTTTGTGCAACATGTGTTACTTTAATTAGCAGATCATTGGGACCATATGTCGGAAGCTAGAGAGAAATTAAAAACAATATATTTGACATTGATTTTATATTTTTACTCACAGGAAGTTCTTCGAGAAGAAGTTTTTTATTTTCATGTACGACTAACGCAAGCGACATACCCTGTATTTATCTAAATAAACATGTGACTATTTAGTCAAAGATAAATACTATACAGAATGAAGAAAAGAAAAACAAGGTTTGATTATCATGATGAATCATATAGATGTTGTCTACGTATTAAAAACTCTCTATTGTTACTATTTTAGTAAAGATTTTATTATATCGGGTGGTCTAGATTAATCCTTTAAGTACGGGATTATTTTTGTATAGTGGCAAGGACCAGGAACGGTTGATAGTCAAATCAGTCCTATAAAATTTTTTTGATTCGAAATTCCAACTATATTATACCAAACCAAAGATCTCGATGAGCTGAGCACTTTTTATGACGGAACTTGATCTTTTAAATGAAACCATGAAGAGTTCTGGGTAGGTCGACTTGTAAAATTTTAGTCATTTTAGCCGTTGTCACGCTCAGAACTCTTCATGCTTTCATTTAAAAGAATCAGTTCCATCACTAAAAGGTACTCAGCTCACCGAGTTCTTTTGTTTGGTATCATATAGTTGGGTTCGAATAAAAAAATTTTTATAGGACCGATATTAGGACAAACATGTTCGCCGCCCGTACTCAAACGGTTAAATGGCGGTGTCAGTATTACGACCACAACTTTCTTACGCTTCATGCTATAGACTTGATCGTTTTTACATAAGAATGGCCGTCAATTTCTCCATCAAATCAGATATCTTTATTTACGAAATTGAAGCGTCATCGGATTGTAAAACACGATACAATCGTTTAGTAGAATCATCGATACTTTTACTCATTGTCTTGATACCACGTTGTAATTCCTCAAGAAGTGTTGATTTTGACGATACCTGATCCCCATCCATAGCATATGCCAATTTGTTCCACAGATAGTAGTTTAATGGATTGAGATCAGGCGAATTTGCCGGCCAACGATCTTTGCCTATGTACCACCTGGTGTCAAGAAAATGAGAACAAATCTTATTTTCAAAAGTATCGATGATTCCACTAAATGATCGTATCGTGTTTTACAATCCGATTGAGCTTCAATTTCGTAAATACAAATATCTGCTTTGATGGAGAAATTGACGGTGATTCTTATGTAAAAAAGATCAGGTTTATAGCATGAAGCGTAATACAACAATTAATACATTTATCAGAAAATTCTGGGTGTGGATGTGGAGGGTGTGTGCGTAGGTGTGGGTGTGGAGTATGTGTGCGTAGGTGTGGATGGGTGTGGGTATGGGTGTGACTGCGGGTGTTGGTATGGAGGGAGAGAAATCCGGAGTCACCCACACCCACCCCCATCCTCATCCACACCCACACTCCTACGTTTAAATTACGCTCACGTTGTATACTAAAAATATCAGAATTTCTAGTTTTCTAAGTTATACCCATCGTAAAATCGATGAAATCACTTTTAAGTGCAAAATGTCCACCTGCCAGGTTTGGCCAGGCCTATACATAGTTAAAAACTTCTTTTGGTACGTAGTAAAAACATAATAGCTTTGCCTAATATGACACCCATGCGCCTAGTCGCGGTTAATGCATCGTTTATGACATGTCTCATAGCAGTAAACATGGTGACAATTAGTGTTAATACTTCACGTCGCATATTGTCAAGTGGCTGCAGCACAGCCTGAGAGAAAGTATTTTTCACTGTATATATCAAATACCGAGCCTGACAGAGTATATTTTGGTGTAGCCAAGATCGAAGTAATGGCACGATATCAATCACTGATCTTCCTGTTTTTGGTATGATTTGAGTGTAGACGAATGCGCAGATTGCAAACGTACGGCGACAGAAAGGCAGCACGATGGAACAGTAATTAAATTTACATGCATCTCAAGAAGACTTAAAAGTGTTCTTGGCGTACATAATAAAATAGGGTATGGTTTCGTATAGTGTACGACGAATCTCTGGCATGATGTACATCAGCAACCTGTTCAACTGTGATAAGAGTTGTTTGTAGATAGATAAACAGATGTTGAAAACACGGCGACAGTAAGGAAGCACGATGGCATAATAATTAAATTTACATGCATCCCAAACGAATTTCAACGTATTCATTGCATAGTTAATAGCATAGGGAATGGATTGGTATATTATGTGTTGAATCTTTAGCATTATATACATCAGCAGCCTGTTCAACTGTAGTAACAGTTGATTGTAAAGAAATGTGCATCCATTCCAAAATGACTTAACCGTATTCATTGCATTTCTAATGGCATAGGGAATGGATTGATATACTATGCGCCAGATTTTTGATATGTTACAAACCAGTAGTCTCTTGAATTGTGGTAAGACTTGTTTGTAAATGAATGAGCAGATGTTGAAAACATGATGACACAAAGGAAGTACGATGAGATTATAAATATATATGCGTCCATACCATAAGGATCTAAAAGTCTTCTTTATATACCAAATAACATAGGAAATAGATCGGTATACTATATGTCGAATCTTTGGCATGATATACACGAGCAGTCTGTCCAATTTTAGTAAGAGTTGGTTGTAAATAAATGAGCATGTCTCGAAAACACGATAATAGAAACGAAAAACGATGAAATGATAAATAAATATGCATTTATTCCAAAAAGGCTTCAACGTGTTCATTGCATACGTAATAGCATAGGGAATGGATCGGCATAATATGTGCTGAATTTTTGGCATGATATATATCAGCAGTATCTGTAACTAGGGATGTACCGAGACCGAGAACTCGGTCTCGGTCTGTCTCGGTCTCG